ATGTCAAATCTGTTTCAAATCTGTTTATCTTCTAACTCTATTAACATTAGATTTCCTGGCTCTTCCTCTCCTCAGAGGTAGGATTGCATGAAAATCCCACTCGGTTGCCTAAATCTTTATGAAACAAGCTTTGTTAAGAAATAGAGAGAAATACAAAATAAAAGACTGTCACCTTACATACCTAGATTTAGAATGCATTAAAATGTAAGAATACAGGTACCACATTTCCAGAGCCTCAAAATAAACTAAATTCTTACAGGTTTCTAGAGAACAATCTTTGAACTGGAACCTGTTGTAACCAATGTAAAATACCACAGAAATCCTCTCAGGGATTTTGATATGTTATTCTGGATTGATATTCTGTCAGGAAGGTCTCACCTTATCCTGATCAACCCTTGTTTTCTAGCAAAATACCTTTGTACAAAATACCTTTGTATTTGCAGATGCACATCCTGTAGATTCATTAACTTGGACTGCATGTCAAATCTTTCACAGAAAAGTTCATTACAAGCACTGTGATTTTGGCAACAGCTGTACCACTAGATTTTAGCAGCATTATTTAGAATCCTAACTCCTCCTGCCTAGGACTTTGAAGGGACCTGCTCCTTCTTGGAAACCATTCAGGTGAAACCTCCTGCCTAAAGCTAAAACTGCTTTAAATTTGCTTCAGGGATGTAACTGTGTTGTTCTAAGGACACAGGCAGACAAGGTTCTTTGAGTAAATCCGATATCTTTTATTAGATCAACTCAGATAGTTGGAAAAAAAATTCTTAGTGAGCTTTTGGGCACCAATGCCCTTTGTCAGGCTGAGGAAGTGTCTGCAGGTGGTCTATGCTCTTCCTGGATAGAGTGGTAAAGCAGCCAGAGGCCAGTATGAATGCAAGAAAGCCATTCAGTTAAAATGTAAATTGAGGTGATCTGCAGGTGAGAGACAGGTGGTGGGGGGGTAAGGGGGAATGAATGTAGCTGTAGCCAAAAGATGAGAGACAGAGGTGGGGAGGGGAATGAGAATAGCTGGTAAAAAGTGGAGGGTTTACTTGGAAGTCAGATGTTAGGCAGATTGTGTCATAAATCCAATGTCTATATTTAGTGAATGATTTTGTGTATCCAGGAGACTGATGTAGTGAAGTTCATGGGCTTTTCTGTGAAAGGTGTTTTGTAAATTCTCTTTAAGTATTTGAATCAAGAGATTGGAGAGAGAGTGGAGAAATGTGCTCCCACAGGTAGTTGGGTATTCTTGTCTTTGATAGATTTGCAGTGTCCGTTCATTCTGGTACAAATTTGTTGTTTGGTTTCTCCTGTATATTTTCCATCAGGGCATTTGGAGCCCTGGATGTATCTCATTCTGGAGGTGCAGAAATTTGCTTGGAATTTTCTCTTTAATTATCTATTATAACTGATGGATTGAGTACAGAGGTTAGCCTTGTTAGTCAGAAGACAGGCAGAAAGTATGGCATCTTGGAGACTAACTGATTTAGAGAGGCATGGCTTTCTAGGCAAAACCTACTTTGTCAGATGCTAGGAATGGACTGTCAGAAAATCTATGGAGTTAAAGGCTCATTTTCTTCTATCTAAGAATGAGTGGGAAAGCAGATAACTTTTGAGGTCAAGCTTTAAAAATATGTCAGTATTTCATATATTAGGAGCTTGACTCTGTAAGAGATGCAGGGTCTATACTACTGGATGTAAAAGATCAGCAGAGTCATCACAGGTTTTGCAACCTGGCCTCTGACTCCAGCAGAAACCATCATATATACTCCTTGATCAGGATTACCCAATGAGCCCACCTGGATGGTATCGAACTTATGTTTTATTCTTTCTACCTGAGCTCTGATTAGCATAGCTCTCAAATTTTGAATATTTATGATTTTGTACCAGTAATGAAGGCTTATTCTCCAGCTCATGGAAAAACAAGCATCTTCTCATTAGCTGCCAACCCCTTGCTTCTGCATGGTTCTGGGTACTTCAGTTAAGTGGCCTTTCGTGATCCCTTTGCATATATACAGAGATGTAAACAAGGGTGCGGACAGAATTGACAATTTTTGTCTTATCTGGCCACAGAAAGCAGTTTATAGCCATGATCAAACACAAGTACACAGCTGCAAACAGCATAAAAATGGCTGAGTGGGTGAAAATCTGACCCCTCACTGCATGAAGTTTCAGATAAAGATGTTTCAAAATGTAGCATCTTCTGTAATTTCTGTCTGCTCTGCCCCCCAGCCTGTCACTGTTTTCAGAATGGGAGGGGGGAAAGGGAGTGGAGGGAGTTCAGTATGGGGTTTTTTCAACCCCTTGGAGGGTGGGGCATGTATATTGGAGCCTCCCTAGGTGGGGGGCTCCAATTCACCCGCCCCACCCTTCAGCACCAGCTGGGGAGCCCTATGAACAAGCTCTGTCTGTTGCCTTTCCCACCTCCCATTCGGTAAACCGGGAGCACCGGCAGAGAGCCATGGCCAGTGCTATGTGAACATGTCTGCAGGCTCCCAGCCACCAGCTAGATTCCCCTCCTCCCTGAAACCAACAGTGAACTTCTGTTTGATTCAGTGTTACCACCTCTTGTCATGTATTGCAACTCTTATGATTTCTGGCAGTTTTTAAAAAGCCCAAGCTCCCACAGCCGTGTCATAGTCTCAGTTCTGATTTATTTTTACATTACATTACTGATCTTCAAGGTTACAGAGAACATCTTGAAAACATGAACCCCAAAGACCGAAAGGCAGTAAAAGAAAGTGTGTGTGTGTATATGTATGTATTAATTAGGGAACTATGTATGTATGTATAATTAGGGACCTATTTAATTTGTGGTTTCGCTGATTTCATGGAAACCACAAAATCTGGGATAGTTTGCAAAATCCACAAAATCAACAGCAAAAAGCTCCGTAATAAAAATAAAATGCTAGCACCTTCCCCTCGCTGTTGGGAGGGGAAGACGCTAGCTGGTGGGGTGGCACAACGGTCAGCAGACAAGATGGCTTCTGCTTCATTATCCCTCCTCCCCCACCGGGGCCTTCCTGGCAATCAGAGCTGAGGAGTAGGGCCTCTCTCCCAATCAGTACTAAGGGGTCGTACTCTCTGCCAATCATTTTGAGAGGTGGGGATGCTGAGAAATAGAATATCTTATGGTTTTAAAGCCATTCATGATATTCTGGCCCCAATCATGATTTTGAATATTTAAGACTAGAATCCTGTTATATGTATGCTTAGTGAGGCCCCAGATCGCACAACATTGTGGGGAAGAATGGCTTGGGACTCAGGAAACTGTATGAGGAATTGGGAAATCTGGGCTTGAGTCTGCTCCACCACAGATTTCCTGCATGATTTTGGGTAAAGCAGTTAACTGCTCTCTGGTTCTGTTTTTAATTGGTAAAAGTAGGGGCAATAGGATTCCCTTCCCTTACTGGAACATTTTGAGAATCAGTACATTTAAAAATATATAAATTTTGGAGCCAGTGGAGCTCCATGTTGGTGCAAGCTTCCACTTACCTGCAAAGCTGCAGAATAAGGGATTTAGGGCGGTTGTACACGTGATGGGGTTTAGTCCTCAGGGTTTTATTCTGTGCTCCCTAAATTAAAGTGGTGGTTTTTTAACTGAAACGCACTTTTTCAATTTTTCTATCACGTTACTGCAAGGAGCCTGATCCTTTTTTTCCCTTTTTTTTTGTCAGAGCTGGAGCCTGCCTCAGGCTGAGGGGCAAGCTGCTAGTGGGCTGAGCGGCCCCTAAGCTGCGGGAGCCCCTGGCCATTCCCTCCATTGCAGTGGCACCCACAGGGCTGCTAGCGGGCCGGGTGCTGCCCCGGCTCGCAGGCAGCACCTGGCCTGATCCAACTCTTCCCTGACCCTGAGCTGGGGCAGCACCCAAACAGCTATCAGCCTAACTGGGCAGCCCTAAGGGGTGCTGCTGCTGGAGAGCGAAGGACTCAGGGGTTGCTCAGCCTGCTGGTAGCTTGTCCTCCAGCTGTGAGAGAAGTGACCAGGCTCTGTTGGGGAAAAAAAAAGAAAAAGGATTGGGCCCCTCACTGCTTCTGGCTTCAGCAGGTGCCTGCAGCTGGCAGGATGCCTGGAGCTGCCTGAGAACAGGCTGGCTTGCCCCTAGGCAGGAGGGTGTCTGGGTTTGCTGGCATCCAGAGAAGGCAGCGGGGATTGTACACAGGGTGCTGGAAGCACGGGCAGGCTGCTAGCTGGCCAGGTGCTGATCCAGCTTGGAGATGCCTGATCCAACACTTCTCTAAGCCCACCCAGACTTCCAGTGCCCCATGCACCATTCCTGCCACTTTCTCCAGCCACCTGCACACCCTGCTGCCCTCCTGCCACCTTTCTGTGCTGCCCCAGGGGCAGGCTGGGTGTGCTGGTGGCCAGAGAAGGTGTCAGGGACAGTGCATGGGGTGCTGGACGCCCGAGTGGGCTTGGGGAAGCATTGGATTGGGTGCCTCCAAACTGGGGCAGCATTCGGCCAGCTAGCAGCCTGCCTGGGCATGCCCACACCTTATGCACTGTTCCACCGACTTCTCCAGCCACCAGAAACCCAGACACTCTCTTGTCATCTCCCTGCGCTGCCCCAAGAAGAAACCAGCCTGTTTCCACACAGCTCTAGCCATTCTGCTGGCTGCAGGAGCCTGCTAAAGGCAGAATTGGCAAAGGGGCTGATCTTTTTTTTCTGCAGCGCCTACCCACCTCTCCCATGGCTGGCGGGGGCTTGCTAACAGCTGCATCATTGCAAATTTCAAAGATGCAAACTCATCTAAAACCCTCAAAACTGGCACATGTGTAATGTGTGACACCATTAAGCCACACAAATGTGTGACAAAAATGCACTAGTTTCCCATCAAGTAGCTCCCTTAGTGGGCAGAGTCTAGAGAACATTGACCTGTATTTGGTCTCTAAAGGGCCCTAGCACGTACGATAGAAACAACATTTTATATTTTACATGCTCATAATTAAGGGTAGGAAAGGAGAGCATTGCAGAGGAATTTACACCATATGTATTCCTTTTTATTATCAGCTGGAAGCAAAACTGCTATGAAGATAAGAGGACATGAAGGTGCACTTCCATCTCATTTTCCTGTTGCATGCATGTACTGTAGTTTTAGGTAAGTTTTGGTGTGAGAACCATGCTGGGTTGTGGTGTAGTGAGACTATGACTGCAGGCCCCTGTCCTGCCCCAGGGATCTGTGATGCATATGTCACAAAGCAATAAGAAGAACAGATGATTACACATGCTGTGAAACCTGCTAGAAGTAGAGAATCAGCTTGGCTGGATTTAAATTTGAGAAAGAAAAAAGCATAGAGACTCACCTAATTTACTCTCTTTATCTTGTTCATAAATATTTCTGTACTTACAGGACTTGAAATAGTAACTGGACAGGTTTCCAAAGACTGCATTCTGCCATGCTCCTTTCCACATGGTGAAGAAGTAGTAATTCACTGGAAGAAAGAACTCCAAAATGTGCACAGCTACTACAGCGGGCAGGACCAACTAGCAAGCCAAGACTCTCAATACCGGGGTAGAACAGCTCTCTTTCATGAGGGGATTCCCAATGGAAATGCCTCCTTAAAACTGAGTAAACTGCACCAGACCGATGAGGGCTCCTATTCTTGCTATGTGGGGACAAAACAAACGAGAACAGAAGTGGAAGTCAAACTGTCCATACAAGGTCAGCAGAACACTTAAAATACAAACATTCAAGCAGCAAATCCTTTTATTTTCTTTGCCACTTGACATTGAAATACCCCTGACCAGTGGTGCCCAAGCTTTTGCCCCATGGGCTGGATGGGCAGTGCCTGGTCCATTTGTAGGTTGGATCTGGTTGTGGGCCTGATCTAGTGTGTGGGGCAGGTGTGGCAGGAGCCTGACTCAGCTGCAGGTGTGGGGCAGGGGTAGGGGGTATGACCCAGCTCTGATCCAGCCATGTGGGGACAGGGTAGGGGGAGGAATGTGGCTCAGCCCCAATTCAGCCATGCAGGGGGAGCGAGGGGACATAGCCTGGTCCTGATCTTACTGCATAGGGCTTGGGAATTTGGCAGCAGGGAGGGGTGGCAGTATTAATTGCCACTGCTCCCATGCTGCCAAATTTCTTGACTTGTGGGGAGCCATGTGGGCCGGATGCCTGACCCCTGCCCCAGACTCTGAGGTTCTGCACTCCTGGGCAGCTCTGTACTTTACCATTGCACTTCAGCTACAAAATATATTACAAGTAAGTTACAGCAGACAGAGGTTGAGAACTTCTGTACATAACTGGAGGTGAGAGTTACTACAGGTATATAGGTTGGCAGGAGGGAACCGGATACTGGATGGACATCAGTACAGAGTGTGGATACCAAGGGGAGATTGGAAGTCAGTGAAACGTGAGTGAGGTGAACGCTACAGTGTGGGTGCGTCTACACGAGATGCTAACTGCACAGTAGTATTAGGCTACTGCACAGTTAGCATCACTAAAAAGCTGTGCACCAGCACTAATGCACAGTAGCACCAGTTACTGTGCATTAATTTAGTATTTAGTTATGCAAGTACTAAAGTAATGTGCAGTAACTATGGCACATTAATGAACATGTAAATGCACCCTGTAATCTGAAGTAAACACATATAATTATGTTTAGCTCTGCTCTGGAGATTGTCTTCTACATTTTTGTCTTTATAGCTCCCCCTCATTACGCAATGGAATATGAAAAACAAGACTCTGAGAGACAACTGAAATGTTCTGCCTTTCTTGGCTATCCTAAGCCTAATATTACATGGCAAGATTGCTGTATATCAAGGGAAGACACAAGAACCGAAAGAACCCAGGATGGACTTTATTCAGTTAGAAGTGAGAAGAATATTACAGACAAAGCTTATTCTTATGTGTGTCACATTCAGTTTGGGGATCAGATCTGGACTGCTGACTGGAAGAGGGCAGGTGGGTTTGAACTATTTTCCATTCCTTGAACAAAATAAAGTGCAGGAGAGCTTCCTGCAGAGCTGGTCCATAAGGAAAGCAGTTCATCTACATGGTGATGGCTTGGCAATGAGATGAGACTTAAGGCTGCATCATGTTCAACTGAGGTTACATGGCTGAGATAATCAGAAAGCTGGGATGGTCAGCCAGCCTGTGAAATAGAAATGACTCACTGACAATCATTCCACAAGGAGGTCTCTGTGAACTACACCTGATTTGCTCTGTGTTGGATTCATATAAGCAGTTTTACATGCCCTATGTTGCATAACAAAGATTTTTGCATCATTTCAAAGACAGAACAGTTCAGCGAATAAATTTGAGGACCATAGTCAGCCTGGCTTGAGTTTTGAGTTTGTTACACATTCATATAGTAGCTTGGAAGTCAATGCAAACTCATTATCACAGAACTCCACCAAATACTAAACCTTTGCTGTGGACAGCTAGAGGTGACCATGCATGGTGGAAGCAGCTAGTCTTGCTTCGTTACACTTCACTTACTCTATACTATAACAGCACTCAGAATAGAATTCAAGAAAAACAGTGCCAGGAGGAAGCTCAGGGGTTTATCTAGTCCAGGCACCTGCTCAGGGCAGGATCATCTCTGCCTAAAAGATGCGACAGCCCAGATTTGGGAAGCATTATGTTGGGTACAGTGGGTCTTAAACTTTTTAGACTCAAGGAACTGCAAGGAAAATGCCAGTTTTTGGTTTTCACACTTTTTTTGACCACAGAAAAACAACAGAGCAATTCTTTTTTGCAAAGAACTCAGAAAGACCATAACAGGTCAGAATGTTTTTAACACTGTGGATTCCTGTGTGAAATCTCTGAGTGTTTTAATTAGAGCGGCTCCAAGAGGTCTAATTAAAAAAGTACCCGAAGCGTCATGTGTATCAGCATCCCCATACTCAATTAATCAAGTCTGCTCTGATGCACTATAATTACAGTGCATTGGAGCAGCCTCTCTGCGAGTGTATAAGCGCCCTCTGGGATTATCTTGTGAAGCATATTTGCAGACCTAGCTGTGCTAACATTGTGTGGCATCTGCAGCATCCTTGAAAGGATCTCAAGGAACCCCAGGCTGCTGTGATTAAAAATTACTGGCATAGACCAGGGTTTGGTAACCTTTATCAGACATGGGCCTGAACAACCCAGCTCTGATCCAATGTAGGCCGAGTGGCTTTGGCAGTGTATCGGTGGCAGGGAGGCTTTCTCCACACCTGTGCTGGTATGGGCACAACTTCCAGCCTGCGGGGAGATGCAATGGGGCTGGACAACTGGAAACTGTGTCCACTCCAACACTGCTTCTCCCTGCTGTCCTTCTCCCTCTGGCTGCAATGTGGGCACACGTCTTTCTTAGTCATGGCCCATGATGAGACAGCCAGGCATGAAGCTCAATTCTTGCTGACCTAAAGCATCTTCCTGGTCTCCTCCAACCAAAATGAAGATCAAGAGTAATACAATAAAAAATGGTCATTTTCTCAATGATAATTATTCCCCTGCTAGTTATTACATTTCATGAGTTATTTCCACTGCTGTTGTTTGCTTTAGGAATTGTGAAATAGTGCTAGTTGAGGTTCCCCCCTGCCCCCCATGTTTGTTTATTTTTATATAGTTGACTAAAGTAAAATATTGAGCACAGAAACAAAGATTGGTATCCAGATATTTATTTTTCAGAAATGATCCTTACCCATTTGAAAGTTGTATGATATTTAAATCAATTTAATATTATTTTAAACAAAAATCAATCACTTGTGCTATAAAAATTTAAACCTTTAACTGAAAATATGAAAAAACTCAGAAAGACTGCAACAGGTCAGAATGTCTTTGTCGCTATGAATTCCTCTTGGAATGTCTGGATTTATCTTGTGAATCATGTAGGTGTTTGCACACCTAACAGTGCTAATATTATATGGCATTCCTGCAGCACCATTGAATGGATCTCGCAGCAGCCTAGGGTGCTGCTGCACCATGATTGAGAATGACTGACTGGTTTAGACTGAATAGAGATCAAATTGGCACAAGACATCTGCCTGCGAAGGTGCAAGAGCATGAACTCTTATTGCCAGTCAGTTTCAGTGCACGATTTTTGGAAGATGACAGTATTATGCAGGGAGACAGAAGGGGGGAAAACACACAGCAAAAAACCCGAACAAGAAATATCTGAAACCTCTAGTAAGAGATGGGTTTTTTATTTCATTTTAACAAATATTAGGACTACAACTACAGTGCCTGAAATATTCTGTAAAGAAGTGGCTTTTGTATGCCTACATTTGGGAAAGCTTTCAACAAAATTATATCAATATGCTCAAATATTCTTTGATAATGAGGCACTAAATCATATGAAAATTCTCTGAAAATGGACTTCTTCACAATAACTTCCTCCAACTATTGCATTTCCATTAACAGGTAATACTTTTAATTATATATTTCAGATCTACTTTGTAGAAGTGAGGGAGGTACCGCCATAATCCCATGTGAAGTTTCTGCTGAAAGTTCCTCATACACTATTACTTTGAAAGCAATAAAAAGTACATCTACTTCTGTTCTGGCATCCTTCAATAGCACATCAAGAAGCCCTGTACTTCTGCCAGAAAGATTCTATTTGGACACAGACAAACCACATAAATATAAGTTAAGGATAAGTGGCCTGACTCTAGATGACCAGGGAGAATATCTGTGTAATGTTTCAACACCTCAGTACACAAAACTGACTATAACGACTTTACAAGTTGGTAAGTTGCTGTGATTTCCCCATTGCCGGACCTCCCTTGGGAGAAAACAGTTAAATCTGTCTAGTGTCAAGGAAAATTCTCTCAGGAGTCCTTCAAAAGATATGGGGAGGAAGAAATATTGTGGTGTTATTAGAGAAATATTGAGCTAGATCAGAAAAACCACACAGGTTTACCTTGTTGATTGTTGAGATTTTTGCACTTTACTGACCTCAAAAGATTGTTTGTCCTTCAGCAACTCTTTCTGGACTTGGTCTCATGTGGTGCTCAATACCCACTGACTTCAGTTGGAAATGAAAGTGCCCAGCAACTTGCAGGCTCAGACTGTCAATGCTGTGTTGAGGGAGAAGTTTTTTTGGCTACCACGGCCTTTGCACACCTGATAAGAGAAATGGTTACATTGGACACTCATGGGTTTTGGCTGTTTTAGATTTTATGCTATTATAGCAGTCTGTTTTCCAAACGTAAATGCATGGGTGTGCATACCTGTATTTTATGGGTATTTCACATTTGCAACTGTAATAACTCTTTTATGTTATTTCCTTCCCTTCATTTTCCAGGGAAGTTACCACTATTGCTTCCATGTCTTGCCTGGGTTTTCTGGCCAAAGGCTAAAAAAAATATAATGAAATTCAGGTTTAATAGAAGTATAACATAAATAAATTTTAATGAGAATAGTCATTTGGAGTTGTATATCCTTCCTTTGTAGTGGCACCTACAGAACACAATCTCCTCATCCAGTAGCACTTGAGAAGCTGTAGCTGTTAAATGAAGTTGCTTAAAAGACTGAAGTAGGACCTGGTGTAGAGTTCCTGATACTGTCTTAAGATGAGAGCTGTTGAGCACTTTGTCAGGTTGATGGAAAATAATTTGGGAGAGAGGCATCTGGTGTAGAAATGTATATTTGTGAAGTATTTGCATGGAGATGGTATTTGAATTGTGCTAGTCCAGGGGTTTTCAACCTTTTTTAACAAGTGTACCCCTTCTGCCTCAAAGTTTCAGCTCATGTACCTCTTCATATTTTTTCTTGTTTTTAAGGGGTGGGGGAGGGAGGCAGATCAAGGCCCCCATGGTGAGCGAGGGAGTGGGGTTGGTGCTGGGGTAGGGGCAGGGGCAGACACTGCAGAGGCAGGGTAGAGTGTGGAAGGGAGCCACAAGAGCAGTCCATCCGGGGGGTGCAGGGAGTGGGGTGTGGCTCTTGCTGTGCACACCCTGTGCCCCCCAGATCTCTGCATGGGGTGGAGGCAGATGTTGCTGCAAGCTGGACTCTGCACTCTGCTGCCACTGCCCCAAGAGCTGTGCAATGTCATGTGCCTGCTTCTGCCGGGTGGGCAGTAGACATGGACACATATGCAGAAACATACACAGAAACCCTCCCCCCGCAGCAGGTAAGTGTGTGTGGGGGAAGGGGTGGGAGGACCAGATCGAGAAGTGGGGGTTGGTGTGTCTCTATGCCTGTGCCCAGGAACAGGGCCGGAAGGGCGAGGGCAGCGGTGTTCCCTGTGGGCCACATGCACACTGCCTGGCTTGCCAGATGGATGGAGGGAGCGGGGGCTCATACGCTGCCGCTGCCACCTCCACGCACTGCTGCCGCCACTGCCATGCCCCCCACCACTTTCCCGCAGCTGGTTGCACACGCAGCTCTGTGGGCTGCTGACAGACCTTGCACCTGGCCAATTGTGTGCTGCTCATCAGCAGCTTGTGGAACTACATGTGCAACCAGCTGTGGAAAAGCGGCATGGGGCGCAGCAATGGTGGCAGTGGCTACCACATGTGAGTGCCCCACCCCATCCAACTGGCACATGTGCGGCCTGCAGAGGGGCATTGCTGCCCTTGCCCCCTCCCCCCCCCGCCAGCCCTGCTACTGGGAGGGTGCAGAAAGAGTGGGCAGAGAGAATGAGCTAGAAAGGCCGTGGGGGGCGGGGAGGTGCTGCAGTGTGCTGTGTGTGGCTGGCGGTCCCCAGCACGTCCCCCTCCCAGGTAAGAAGCAAAGTACGGGAACACATCGGAGGAGATGCCACTGCCGCATTCTCCCTCCCTGCTCACCTGCCCACCCATGTGTACCCCCTATGGCCTTTCTAAGTACCCCTGGGGGTACACATACCCCTGGTTGACAACCCCTGTGCAAGTGTATGACAGATTCTAGAAATAACGCATAAAATGAGAAGAGAAGCAGTGTAGGGACACAGTCTTGTGCAACTTCCATTTATGTGGAAGGAAGTGTGAGGAAGAGCCTCAGAAGGACATACTGAAGGAACAATTGGACAGGGAGGAGGGGAACCAGGAAAGGACTGAGTCCAGAAGAGGAGAGCAGAATTTCATACCTGTTTCAGTGGACTATAGGAAGCAAAATCCAGATTGAAGGTTGGTGGTGTTGGGGGGACTATGATGACATGCTACACAGCAGCTGTGGGCAGCACTATTGGTGAGCTTTTAAATGAAAGGGAGAAGGGGCAGAAATTGAACAAGCAGCCATAAGAAATGCCATGTGTTTTATTTGTTTATAAGATGGGATAGATTCAAGCTTGTTTATACTGTGAATTGGCTGACATGAAGTGGGGAATGACAATGGAGGTAATGGAGATCAAGAAATGGGACAGAATGGGATAACTGGGGAATAATGTGCTATCAGTAAACATAGTGTTACAATATTAAAGGCTTTCCAAGACTCCTGTAACTTGTTGCCCTGTTGAGCATAGCATCATAGATGCGGACTCTGTGGCTGCTCCAGGGCTCAAGCACCCACCAAAAAAAATTACTGGGTGCTAATTTTCAGATGTTAAAAACAAACAAACAAAACAAACATACTTTATCACAGCGGTGAGCAAAATATGGCCTGCGGGCTGGATCTGGCCTGCCAGGCAATTCTATCTGGCCCATGGGGCCCCTAAAAAATTAGTAAATTAATATTTATTTTATCTTGGCTGCCTGTCAAAGCTGTCAGGAGCCAGGGGCAGTAGGGCCCAGGGGGAGCCCTCAGCAGAACTGAGCAGCTCAGCCCCACCCCACCCCCAGCCATTTTCACTGTCTTTCTGCCCCCACGCTGTTCTTGCACCATGTGGCTCCTGGCTGCATCACCTGACCAGGCAGCACAGGGCCCCACCAGTACATGTGTATGTATGTGTGTGCCTGTGTGTGCGTGTGCAGGCAAGGGCAGAGTGTGTGTTTGCAGACAGGGGTAGTTTGTATGTGTGTGTGAGGCAGGGGCTGTGTGTGTGTGTGTGTGTGTGTGTGTGTGTGTGTGTGTGTGTGTGTGCAGGCAGGGGAAGTGTGTGTGCCGGCAGGGGAATTGTGGGTGTGTGTTCATTGGGTGAGTCCCACACACACACTCCACCATAAACATGTACCCCCCCTTGCACTGTGTAGCGTGCACATGCAGAGTGCACATGCAGAGTGTGTGTGTGTGTGTGCAGGCAGGGGCAGTGTGTGTGTGTGTTGATTGGGTGAGTCCCACATGCACACTCCACCATACACATGCACCCACATCCCCCTTGCACTGCTATACATGCAGACCCCCACACCCACAACCCTTCATACACCCACACCCCACATACCCACAACTCCCCACAAACCTATACGTACCCCCCCCATGATATACAAGAGTAAGACTTCATTTTAAGCTATTGTGCAATCCACTCTGTGTACGCTACATAAACACATATAAGTCAGGACAAAAATATTTAAAAAAATCAAATTAATTAATGTTGTAGATGTTTACTTTTTAGAATATAACTTGATATTTTTCTGTTTCCGATATAGCAAAACCCCTTGCTGAAAGGAGTACTTCTGGGGACAAAAGGAGGGACTTTGGGTGGCAAAGGTCAGGGGTTAGGGGGTGGGGGCAAGGAACCTGTCAAGGGGTGGGGCTGCCCATGTGGCCCTCGACAGCTTGCCAAAACTCAGTAAGCAGCCCTCCGCCCAAAAGAATTGCCTGCCCCTGCTCTATCAGAAGTGACCAACCTGACGGTGGGTGGTTGGACCCAGACAGGTGCTGCGTGAACAGGCCAGGGACGGAAGGGTTACGGGACCTTGTTTCTCCTTCTGTTATCTCTCTTCCCGTTGACAAAAACAATTAAGGAGGCGGTGTAACAAATAAATGCTTTACTCACACTTTCGTATAGGTGGTTTCCTTTACAGCAGTTTCAAGATTAAACTCGCTGTTAACTCGAGAGCTCTAAACATGTTTGAATGATATACTCGGTTGTGATGGGGGCATCCAGGGGGAAGGGATTTCGTGGACGCAGGACCTCCGGTGAGGGTGATCAGGCCTCTCCAATATGGCATGGGTCCCTGTTTTTTGGCGCGCGCGCTTTTCCTTTTAAACGGGCTGCATCCGCCTGCCCCCTGCCAATCAGCACAGGCTGGGACCGCCGATCTCGCGGCTATCAGGCCGCGCCCACTACTTCCCCCACACCACGAGCACAACTTGCTCTCATGTTGGCGTTTGGTCATTTATATATTTTTTTTTCTTTATCACAAGAAGAAGCAGCACACTACTTCAACCTGGCTCTGAACATCTATAAAGATTGAGTGTTTCAGGGGGGCTTTTTGGCATTTCTAGCTAAAGCTGATTCAATCAGCTATTAGATAAAAGCACCAAAAAAAGCCCTGCTAAAGAACTCGATCCTTACAGATGCTACAGAGCTGGGTTGAAGTAATGTGCTGTCTCCTCTGGGCATGAGTGGGGCTCAGCACAGGAACGTGCCAAGTTAGAAGTAAAGCACTGGGTTTTGAGGGTGGGGGGGTTATGTCTGCAAGCACCCACTGGCAAAAAACAGTCAGCGCCTATGTTCCTAATTCAGCTGTTTCTTCTTTTAGAGTACAGTACAGCATTGATTCTCTGGAATAACCAGTGTCACGATCATTCTGGATGGTCAATTTTTCTGGATAAACAAACACCACACTAGGAAGTACTGAAAACTATACTTTAATTTTTGTAATGTACAGCAAAGAAATGGTGGTACTATGTAATACAGTAGGCGCATACATTACCATAGGCAGAACTTTTGTTACACTAATTGTCATTGTAGATCAGTGGTTCCCAATCTGTGGTACACATACCAATTGTACACAGACAACCTGTCAGTGGTACATGTTAACAGATTTATTATAATTAATTTATATGACAACATTTTGCTGGTGGTACTTAATGTTGTATTGTTTTTAAATTGGTGGTGTACAATCTGTTAGAGTTTGGGAACCATTGTTCTAGATAATCAATGCTCTACTGCATTTAGAAGTGGACACAGTATTCCAGATGAAGGCAAAATTCTCTGTTTTCAGTGATTCTCCATCCTTTTCCTTATCCATCTTAACACTATGATTTTTTTTTGACTGATGCTCACTGAGCATATGGCTTAGCTGAATTGTCCACAGTGATGTCCAGATTTTTTTCCACGACTTGTTCCAGTAAAGTAGAACTGAATAAAAAGTGCTTATATGGCATTTGTAAACACAGTTTATTCTCCATTCATGGTGCTCTTTATTTGGGTCTTCTTTCAAGTAGTCGGGAGTTGAATTTTAGGTGACAGTTGTTATTAATTCTTTAATGTAAAAATCTATGTTTCAAGTTTGCTAACAGTTACTAAGAGTTCCATAAAAAAGCGAGGAGAGGGACTATTGGTGGTACTGGTTACTACACCAGAGAGTGTTTACAGGACCAGGATACTTCATCTTTTAACCAGCCTGTTGGGTAAACCATCCACAGTAACAGAGTACCCAGAACTGAGACTAAAGAAGCAAATAACAAGTGGCATGCTTTCAACTGTTTGGATTTGTCATTTTAAATTGGTATTCTCTTAAGATTGCAGAATTTTAGAGCTTGTATTAAAACTATTGGATTTTAAGACTGTGATAATATTAATGGACAGACCCAGGCGGGTTCCATCTGCATTACAAAAGTATGAATTCTAAATTAGAACTAAAAAAGGACAGGTTACTACACTTCGGGGGATGCTATAAGCATTACTTTGTAATATTATGAATTATTATGAAGCTCTTTTATTTAATTATGTGAAATTAAACCAAAATATATATTTTCAGAAGAAAGAACAAGTACAAATTCTGCTGTATCTGGCACTGGCATTGGCATTGGCATTGGCACTGTCATCGGCATCGGCATTGTCATCACTGTTATTGGCATTTCATATTATTTATACAAGGTGCGTATGACTGCGGGCATTAGCAAACACACTTCCACACACTTTAGTACAAGATTCATGTAAAAATACAACTCCAGGTGTTAAGGTTGAACCAGAACATGGACAAAAACTGCTTTGGGTTAAAAAACTGGCAAAAGATTGGAAATGTAAAATGAAAAAAAGAAAAAAGTTGTAGTTAACATTTTCCTCTCCCAGCCACTTCCTGTGGCTTGCAGGCAGCCTCCATGACTCTCTGTACCCAGTGTCTGGGTTGCACTACTTTGGGTGGTGCCTTGGGCAAGTTTTTCTCTTAAGCAACATACTGTACTTAGCTAAATTAAAAATTGCCATGATGAGGTTGAGCGCAAAATCAAAATTAAGAGAAGAAACTGCATTCAAGCATATCTAGGTTGCAAGATGGCAAAAAAAAGGTATGCTGGATTTGCCTAGTTTGTGTATCATACTGAAGCAGCAGCAGATGCTTGCATTTCCAGAGATCCCAAAACTATTTTGTCTATTCCTGACTCCCGAGGCACCCCCGGTAGCCCAGTTGGGGAAGGGTGGATCCTATTGTCTTAATTCCTTTGTAACCTTGTCTAAGCTTGTCTAAGTTGGTATTTCACCATATTTGGCTTTGTCATGTAACAGTTCATTTTTTCCCCTCCCACAGAAAGGACACCCTAAACAAAACGGGAGTGCGGTAAAAACTGTGTCACCTTCAGAGGTAAGGAGTATTTTCTCTTTCAACTTGCTTTGAAATCTGCTTGGTTTTATGTGGGACTGTTAGGCTTACAGGTGGTGACTGGGATCCTGTCTCTGTAGTTACAGGTAGTTGGGATTTATATATAAATGTCCTCAGTAGCCTCAGATATTAGTATTCTGTCTTCATCCATATTTATGTCCTGTGTCTGTAAAACCAGAAATGGAAAGACCGGTATTGTTGATTTCTTGGGTAACATTTTCCAAAGTTGGTACAAATTCCCTTTCACAGAAGGCTCTTGATTCTGAAAAACCCCACCCTGGGTGAGCATCAGGGTGGAACATACTGTGGTGACCATTTAAGTGTAAGGATGCACCTCATAAAACCAGATTTTCAACTGGTTTAGATACATTGGCCCCCAGGAAACACTTTCCCGTTATTCTTATGCGATACCTGATAATTGATAATCCTGCCCCAAGGGCCACCTTCTCGTTCCAGCCTACTCCCTTAAAGCTCTTCTGAGCGTTAGGCCAAGCTCCTTCCACTGTGTATCCCTCCCTTCAGTGTATTTCAACTTTACCCACAATTCCCTGTTCCTGATTTCTGATACATCCAACTTCCTGTGTCTGCTGCCTGAAATTAGAGCCGAGCATAGGAGAGACAAGTATTCACCATCCAGCACAGGGTGTCAAGGGCCTGCAGCAAGGCAGTAGCCCTTGACTTCAGGAGGGCCAGCTTCAACAAGTTGAGGAGATTGGTAGGAGAGGCATTGTGGTCCTGGAGAGTAGGGGAACTAGGTGTCCAAGACGAGTGGTCGTTTCTTAAGAAGATGATCCTCCGAGCCCAGGGGGTGACAGTCCCAACGTGAGTCAAAGGGGTGCTCAAAAGCCCCCTTGGCTCACCAAAGGCATTCAGGAACATCTGAAAGCCAAAAAGGGGGTGTACATCCAGTGGAAGGTGGGGGGGCTATCACCAAAAAGGATTATACCTCCATAGCAAGAGTCTGTAGGGAGGCTGTTAGGAAGGCTAAGGCGGAGATGGAACTAGGGCTAGCAACAAAAATCAAGGACAACAAAAAGTCCTTTTTTAAATACATAGGGAGTAAAAAGAAGGCACCAGGAAATGTAGGGCCCCTGCAAGATACGCTTGGCAATCTGGTGGTTGCACTAGATGAAAAACCAGACCTTTTCAACAAATTTTTTTTTTCTGAGCAGGAACCAGTAGCTCTCCTCCCCCGGGATAAAGGATGGACTCCGGAGTGACTCCGCCAGGCCTAGGGTAAGGAAGGACCGAGTTAGGGAACTTCTGGAGGAGCTGGACATGTTCAAATCAGCAGGTCCAGATGCTCTCCACTCTAGGGTGCTCAGGGAATTGGCAGGGGTCATTGCAGGGCCCCTGGCATGGCTTTGAGCACTTGTGGTGCTCTGGCCAGATGCCAGAAGACTGGAAGAAGGCCAATGTGGCCCCCATCTTCAAAAAAGGGAGGGGGGAGGACCTGGGCAACTCTAGGCCCGTTAGTCTTACTTTGGTCCTGGGGAAGCTCTTTGAGAAGATTATCCAGGAGCACATCTGGGAGGGACCAGCAGAGGGACGGATGCTCAAGGGCAACCAGCATGGATTCATTAGGGGCAGGTCCTGTCAGACCAACCTGACAGCCTTCTACGATCAGGTTATAAAATCATTGGACGCAGGTGTCGCGGTGGTTGTAGTCTTTCTGGACTTCAGGAAGGCCTTTGACACTGTCTCTCACCCCTTTCTCATTAAAAAGCTAGGTGACTGTGGCACTGATGCCTACACAGTCAGATGGGTCACAAACTGGCTGAGGGGCTGCACCCAGAGAATGGTGGTGGATGGGTCCTATTCAACCTGGAGGGAGGTGGGCAGTGGGGTCCTCCAGGGTTTGGTCCTTGGGCCTGTACTATTCAATTTCTTTATCAGCGACTTGGACGAGGAGGTGAAAAGCACCCTATGAGTGTTCAAATTCTATGAGTGTTCAAATTCACTGACAGCACCAAGATTTGGGGCGAGGTGGGCATGCTAGAAGGGACAGGATACAACTGGATCTGGATATGTTACAGGGGTGGGCAAATGAGAATAGGATGGGATTCAATACTGACAAGTGCAGAGTACTGCACTTGGGTAGGAAGAACCAGCAGCATACCTATAGGCTGGGGAACTCCCTTCTTGAAAGCACAGAGACAGAAAGAGATCTTGGAGTCATTATTGATTCTAATATGAACATGGGCCACCAATGTGAGGATGTGGTCAGCAAGATTAACCGCACCTTGTCATGCATCCACAGATGCATCATGAGCAGGTCCAAGGAGGCGATCCTCCCCCTCTATGTGACACTGGTCAGGCCACAGCTGGAGTACTGTGTCCAGTTCTGGGCACCACAGAGGGATGTGGACAGCATCGAGAAGGTCCAGAGGAGGGCCACCCGCATGATCAGGGGCCCCCTGCAGGAGAGGCTAAGGGACCTGGACCTTCACAAGAGAAGGCTGAGAGGGGGTCTAGAGACAGTCTATAAACTTACCAGGGGGGACCAGAAGGGAATGGGTGAGACCCTGTCCCCTGAGCACCTCCCGGAGTAACAAGGAATAATGGTCACAAATTGATTCAGAGTAGGTTCAGGCTAGACAACAGGAAGCACTACTTCACAGTCAGGGAGGCCAGGATCTTGAACCAGCTTCCAAGGGAAGTGGTGCTGGCTCCTACCTTAGGGGTCTTTAAAAGGAGGCTTGATTGCTACCTAGCTGGGGTCATATGAGCTTAACTTAGTGGGGGTCATATGAGCCCAGTATTCATTCCTGCCCATGGCAGGGGGTCAGACTTGATTTGCTCAGGTCCCCTCCAACCCTACATCTATGAATCTATGAAACAGTGGACAGACTCATTTCTAGGAAGACTCCACTCTACAAAGCTTCCTTTTCCTGTTCCTCAAGTGACTGATCAGTCAGTCTGCCAGATGCTTAGCTGTACTATTGTCCGTTTATGCAGTCAGCAAGCAGAGTGCTAGGTGAGCTCAACTTTCAGGATTGCCACCAAATAGAGAGATAGACATGTACACAGAATATAGCTGCTGGGTAGAGAACTCAAGTAATAGGTCTTTTAATTGCCACAGCCCTGTATTGTCTATCAATGAGTACCGGATATAATGACAATGGAAATTCTGGAGTGGGATTGGGATTATCATAGCCTGTTGTATGCAGGGGAAAGGAGAAGGCTGGATGGGAATGGAGGGAGACAGATGGAGAAAGAGAAAGCATGCAATGTGCAAGTTAAATAATAAGTATACTAATAGGTAAATTAATTGAAGAGCCTGTGGCCCCTGGCACATATTCAGTTAAAGGTATGATGGGATCCAATCCCAGATCCCAACAATCACACCCCCTACCATGCTATACATGCCTGGCAGGAGGTGTTATTGTGGGATCAGGGATCGTTCCCAATCATGTTATATTGCTAGTGCAGGGGCCACCTAGGATCACTGGCAAAAACAATCTAGTCAGGTGATCAGCACCACCAGCTTTGGCAGTGCATCAGAGTGGAGGACTCTAATGCACCGTCCCAAGGCTGGGAGCTCTGATCAGCTGACTGCTGCTCCCAGCTTTGGAGGTGCACCAGAGCCAGGGGTACCCCAGAATCTGAGAGCAGCAGTCAGCTAATCAGCACTCTCAGCCTCAGGGGCATGCTGGAGTCAAAGGCTCTGATGCGCCTCCCAAGTCTGGGATCCCCAGTCAGCCTGGCCACACATTTAATTTAAGGTATGATGGCACCCGCCACAAAGTTATTACACATTTTGTGCAATACCTTTGTGGTTTATTCCATTTTATTGCACTATTAATTGAATGAACGCTTGGCTGGGTTACTGATAAGATGCGATTAAGTGGTAAACAAGTCTTAAGTATAAGATCTAATCTACCACAGGCCCACAGGTCACAGAAGTGTTCCGTATTCTACTAAAAAGAAGCATTACACTAGGGAAATATTACACTGGAGAAATCACTTTAATCCCAGCTAAACTGTGTTTTTCGCTTGGACCATTCCATGTAGCCAGTGGATCAGGTGGTAAATTCTATCATTTCTGCTCTTTCTGAACAAAGAGGTATTTAACTGTTCCCTCATTTGACTTGAGCAAAAGATGGCTAACCTGCCCATCAGCTCCAGTGAGGTTTTCTCAGCGACCTTTCACTCAGTAGGAAACAAAGATGGAAATCAGTACATAAAAATCAATGCATAAAAATTGGCAAAGTTTAAGGTTATTCAACCTTTAAGTTGATATGGCAAAGTTTAAGGTTAATAGTTATTCAACTTACAATATTTCGAGTTACAACGTTTCACACTTACAACATTTATAAAGTCACACTGTTTCAACTTTCTGAAGTCAGTTTCGAATTTACAACACCTGATCCGACGCGATGCCACACCAGCGAACAAGTTCATTGCTTTGCCCATCTCCCTGAAGAGCATCTGTCCAAACTTCCTTGGATTCTTTCTTTAAGAAAGCAGACAAGACTCCAGAAAAACCTGCAGCCAAGACTCCTGAGAAGACTCCAGCCAAGAACCCTTCAAAAAGTCCAGCAAAGTCACCTTAAAGAAGTCCTTCCAAATCAATATGAATGCTATTTGCAATAAATTTCTAGTCTCTTTTTATGACCAGGTTATCTAGTCTCTTTTTATGACCAGGTTACGAAACGCCTGGACACAGGAGGAGGGGTGGATGTCGTATACTTAGACTTCAGGAAGGCCTTCGATATGGTATCCCACCCCATACTGGTGAACAAGTTAAGAGGCTGTGACTTGGATGACTACACAGTCCGGTGGGTGGTGAATTGGCTGGAGGGTTGCACCCAGAGAGTCGTGGTGGATGGGTCAGTTTCAACCTGGAAGGGTGTGGGCAGTGGGGTCCCACAGGGCTCGGTCCTTGGACCGATACTCTTTAATGTCTTCATCAGCGACTTGGACGAGGGAGTGAAGTGTACTCTGTCCAAGTCTGCAGATGACACAAAACTGTGGGGAGAAGTGGACA